GAAAGAATGAGACCTGTATCAGTTCCAATACCTATGGGTAGTATCAGAAACATAATTGCATGGAACTTCTCTCCTTTAGCCACACTACCTAAGAACTAATATTCAAACAAATAAGATATCACAAAGATGGAGACCATGCAAGCTAGATGTCCAACCATCAATATGTATAACTATCGAGTGCCTGCAAACAGTTCTTTTAGACATTGAAACTAATAATCACATATCATCTTGATGTGATCTATATAATCACCTTTTTCACATAATTGTGATGGAGTATCGATAAAAGACTTACTTGACAGCGTCTTCTTTCAGAACTTTTGTTGGCTGCTTATCAAGAAGAAGAAAGAGCTCTCCACCAGGGCAGTAATCAGTAATCAAACAGATATGGCTTTTGGTCTGCAAAGTAATTCGAAGAAATCAATTACCCACAAGTTTCAGAAGTGGCTATCAAACAGTAGGTAAAATTACCCATACTCACTTAGTTAGAATGAGATACTAACAGAAAATATCCAGGCTAGAAATTATGCATGAACACTACTCACTGTGAAGTGGTTTAAATAGAAGCAGTAGTGGATTTTTACTTTCTGGAAAGGAATATAATTTTAACCCACAGAATTTCCGATTAACTGAAACGTGCCAGCAAGTGGAATACACTAAATCTTATTGTCTCACCTGAAATGAAGCGTACAATGCAGGAAGAAAAGGATGGTCCAACATGTCTAGGATTTCTCTTTCTGCACAAGCTCTGTGCACCTGCAATATACGGAGAAATAAATACCATGACAGGAAGTATATAAATGCCCAGTACAAAAATGAATGATGGCAAAATGTAAGATGTTCCATAGCAACCAGAATACAACCTAATAATCACGATTCAGTTTGTTCCCGATTTTTTAATGCTATGTGAGTCTCCATGAGTGAATGTGATAGTTAGATATGAGTATATAATGATAAACTGTTATACATCAAGGAGCCCCTTCACTTTTATTGCTCACGAGAGCATATGGCATCAGGCAGAGCAAATGTGACATTAAGTGACTGAATAACAGAGTAGCTCACGCGGTCCTTGATCATTTTGATGCTCAACCTTGAAGTTAAATTATGAAATTTGGCCTTGTGCATACCTTGTTTCGATTGAGCATCATACCCTTGTCCATTGCTTTCATGGCAAACAATTGCCCAGTCCCACATAGTTCTACTAGATGCACACTACAAGGATATCAATAATGTTTACCTTAATTAATCAAGTTGATTTATTTACAATTGAAGAAAATTGTTGAAAATTTCCTAAGAACTAGTCAGGGGCGAACTGAGCCCCATGCCTAAAGGGCTTAGGCGGGGAATTAGAACTAATATATGCCACCCAACAAGCAAAAGAAAAACAAGCAAAAATTAGATAATGTGTATAAAAATAGAAATAATGGAAAATTGAATGGGAGAGAGAAGAAAAGAGGGCGTATAGCACGTAAATAAGAGATTCTTCAATCCATGTATGATGTGTTGGAAATTGTGGCTGAAGAGTTAGCTACTAGCTGAAAGTTTTTTGAATATTGTACTATGTGATGTAGTGTTTTAAAATAGGAGCTTTCTTTCAGCTATAAGCTAATTTATCAAGCACCGCTATAAGCAAAATAAGAGCTTTTTTTCTAAGTTGAAGCTAGTTTAAAGTCTCTTTAATTAAATTATATGGAGTGAACACATACCTCCCAGTATCACCAGATCCCAACGGTTTTATTGGCTTGAAATGTTTTAGGCCAATCTCTTCTCCACCATCTAGAATCTGAAAAAATAAAAAGCATGCAGGTGCTCTATTAGAAAATTGGAGTTTGCCCATTCTGAACTTCAAGAGGAAAATTATAAGCATCAATTACAAATGCAATACGCTAATTGCAAGATTATCCAATAGTATGATGAAAATATCACTCAATAGATGAATCAAGCAAAGTTGACATTCATATTGTTACATGTGTTAGTGGTTGAATAACTTTAAACTAGGTTTTCTTATAGATATGTCATTCAGTACTAGAAAAGTACCTCGCGGTGCTCTTTCTAACATAGTCAAAAATTGTTTCAATGCGAAGAAAAATAACTCAATCAAGTGATATCATGAAAAATATGTAAGCATATGCATATGTATATGTATGAGCTCACTCAGATGTTCTACTAAGATATAACCCACTTGTAAAGATGTCACTTTCCTCCTATCAAGATTCCAAGTGAAACATAAGTTACCTTTCGAATAGCATCCCAGGAAGGGCTGTTCCTTCTGTGGGGCTTTGGGTGCACAACTTTTGAATGGTTTTTCCACAAGTCCTCTGGTTTCTGCAGGTTGAACCGAATCATGAGTTCCTATTGATATCAGGAAAATATTAAAAGAATTATATAGAAAGTACTGGGACTATTACCGTATTGGCATCAGGAAGCTCTCTCACGGCTTCGTCAACATTTTCAGCAGTTGTTTTCACCTAAACGAACCAATGCCATTGGATTTAATTTGGAACTTATATGGAGAGAGAAAGAGAGAGAGCATTCTCAAATATTAAGCGAAAACAAATGAAACGTGCAAGATAGATAAACCAAAAGAACTAATTAACCAAAACAGAATACGACAAATGAATAGTAGCGCAAAGGTGCAAACCAGTTTTGCACTCTCTGTTGCTGTGGCCTCAGGGATGCAGTTATGAAGTGGCTCAACATGTTGACTTCCATCTAATTGCACCCCAATAAAATATTGCACTTCTCCCTATTTAAACAGATAGTAAATAATCAATTAGAAATGTATCATGTTACCACTTATAATCAAAATCAGATGCTAAAAAACTACCTGACCATATTACACATACCTTTTGATCACGCATAGGCTGCAAATGGAACAAATTCCAAAACTTTTTGCCTGTGAAATCAATATAAAGGAGCAGGATGTTAGAAAAATTGGCAGAATATCAGAAACAAATGCATAGTCACATATCAACTATCGTTTAGATTATCAAAGGTTACTTTTTCTTTCAAGCTGCAAATTATATTATCATGCTCTCTAATAGAGGATTGCGGCCTCATTTCCCATAGTAACTTATACGTTCATGAAATTAATTAATCAAGTCTGCGAAGCTTACCGCTTTTTGTGTAGTTGATGAGCTGGACGGTGACCTCCGTTTGAGTATCAATGGCATGTCGTATTTTCTTAACAGTAGCTGGATCAGTTTCAGGACCCTGGAGAAATCTGCAAAAATTGCACAATCATAAAATATTTCACATTCAGACTTCCTAGGAACCATTAAGATTCCACCTTCTAGGTCAATATTTCATGCTACAATAAACTTCCCATACAATGACTTCTCCAAACAATTTTGAGGTCCATTCAAGCAATCTAAAAGCTTATTGCACAACTAGAAAAATGAACAGACAAGGAAACAAAACATCAGAAGCCAAAAAAAAAAAAAACCCCTCCTTACCTACAATTCCTTCCCAATATCTCTTCTCGGCTGTACTCTGTCAACTCCAAGAAACTATCTGAAGCAAATATCTGCTCACATCAAAAGGACCAAAAATTGCCATCACAAAAAGAGAACATGAAAAAACCTTCCTCAACAGATATTATACTTTCAAATTGAAATGTCAAAATCTAAAAATTAACACAAACAGAAGTATGACATTTCAATATACTTACAATAGGATTGTCTGGTAGCCTTGGATCAGTAATGACGAAATTCTTCTCAATACGCTCAAGAGTGGTGGCCAAATCAATACCCTTTCTCATTTCCTTTTTCCTCACTTTATCATCCACGCTGTCCGGCCTTCCGCAGTCGTCACCACTTTCCGACGAATAACCACCGTTCTCATTCTCTTCATCGTCAACATCATCATCGAAATTTCGCTCCTCCTGCTCCGCCTCTAGAGTCGTACTTCCTCGCCGCCCCTTCTTCAGAATCCTACGCATTATCAGAAGAAATTCAAAAAATTGGGGGAAAAGCTAAATCATCATACAACTTTGAGTTTTCGTTTAACTTCAAATTATAAAGGCAACAAATAGCTTACGCCATGAAAGAGCGGCGAGCGGGTTTTCTCTGGGGCTTTGGAGGGAGTTCGTCGATTTTGTGCATGGTGGCTCTTGTTCCGGCGTGTGCGTGGCGCCGCTGGGGAGGCGGGGGGTTCTCGGAGCTGCGCCGATTTTGGCCGTCGAAGATTTCATAGTCGCCGGATTTTCTGAGGATGGGGCGGGGATTGGTGGACTCGCTGAGTGCCCGGCCGCGGCTCGGCTTCTTCACCGCCTCCACCAGCTCTGTCACTGTGTTTGAAGCTATTTCCTTTTGTCGTGCTAACAAAATAAAACACAGAAAAAATAAATAAATAAAATAACTGTTAATAATTATTGTTATTTGAATATAATTACCATCGTAGCGAATCAAAGATTCGGGTAATCCGTTGGGTCGGGTCATTTTCTCTTTGATTCCCTCTGTGTGCTTGCTTACTTCCACTTGCATTCTACACCATAAGTTAATCAAATGAAATTATGAAATACTCAACCACCATGCAATTATTTAATTATGAAATATTCAATAACCATGCAAATAAAATTGCATATCTCATGCATTACAACATGCATGTTTCGGAACCTAAATTTGGTTTGTTAATGATTAATCCAATCGGTTCATCAATGGTCAACAAGTATAATGGTCCTAATTATGATGATTCCACGTATTTTTTTCGTGTTTATCTCACTAATGGGTTTAAAAAAAATACTTTATTATACATATGGTTCTTGCATTATTGAGTATAATACAAAATCATAAAATTATTAGAAGTCAATTAGATATATAAGTGATAAAATATTAATTAAATTGTTGATTGTTAGAAATATGTAAATGAATGAATACATTTTTTAGATGTAAAATAATTACGGATTCTTTTTTAGATTGTGTTGAGGATATATAGAAGAAAACAAATGATATATAATGGATAGTTTATTTTCTAACTATATTTTGTATCATTGGAAAAAAAAAAAAAGAATTTTATATCCAAAAGACATTAGGATATTCTTTATATATGTACCTCATCACCCAAAAGAATCCACAAAACTTATTTGTCAGTGTACAATTTAATTTCTCTACACATTTTTTCACAGAATTATATACCCCAATTCCAGTATTTTGTTCACTGATAGGTCAATACAATAAACTTAGGAGCAACACATTTCTGCAATTTTATGCCGTGGTCCAAAAATGGTCCACAAACTATTAAAATGCAAAAATATCCTCGAGAATAAATTAAGACGAGGCCAATTGGACCCAAATAGAATAAATTATTGGATAAGATAGGCAGTAAGATGAATTTAATCTTATACGACATGTGCATGTTCTAATGGACCATGCACCTTAATAATGTAGGCACTTCACATTTCAATGTCTTATTTTTTTATTTTTATTTTTTTACTTTTAAAAATTTCAAAAATTATAACGGATCGACTTGTTAACCATAACCCGTCTATTGAGATCAACTTAAATGTGTTTAATAAGAAAAGATATTGCAATTAAGAGTATATTTAAGTGTTAATTACCCAATGTACTTGAGAACTTTTCCCGTTTCATCCTTAATGGGTGCAATGGTGAGAAGATTCCAAAAGGGCGTGCCGTCTTTCTTGTAATTAAGCAACCTTCCGCAATACGTGAAACCATATTGTAAAGCCTCCCTAATCTTCGCCACATCATTTGGATCCGTGTCCTTTCCTTGTAAAAATCGGCTGCACAATCGACCCCAAAATGACGTAAATGCCCTTCCCAACCGTCAAACTTTGACCAAACGTAACTTGTTATGAAGCAACTTAATCATTAAGCAGGTTGACCAGTTTTATGTTTTTTATTTTTTATGCAATAAATTGGTACTTTTCTAGTTAACCACAATCTTTCCTATATTTCTAAAGAAAGAAACATTCTCTTCAGTTATTTTATTTTTCTTTTTAAGGGACAATATGTGCAGATGATAGTATGTGGATGTTATGAAATCCATGAATCAGATTAAATACATATAGATTTGGACAGGATAATAAAGTGTCAAGTACATAGATTTCTGTATGCAGTCATGTGATGTATATAATAAGTTCTCTTGTCAGAATTCAGTTACTGTGTGTTATAATATCCAATAAATTTATTAGTTATGGTGACAATCATACTTGTTTTGGACAGCAAACTGTGTCCACTGGTTATACATTTGCAAAAGAAATGCACAATTATATTATTAAATGTTATATATTTTTAATATGACATTTAATTTAGTTTAAATATATGCACATCAGATAAAAAAAAAAGTATGATTCTCTTTATTAATTAGTAGATATATTGAATTTTCAACTACATATATGTATACTTTCAAATTAAATTGTTATATTAAAAAATATCAACATAAACAAAAGTTCGGCATCTAATAACATAAATATTAGTATATGATTTTTTTTTTAATAAATGTTTGAAAAGCAATTAAACCGCATCAAACAAGAGTATGTACTTAATATATTATTTCAAAGTGATGAAATAAATAAATAAAAATCATACCAATTCCTACCAATGACCTCTTTAGAAGTGTAGCCAGTCATTTTGAAAAATCCAGCACTTGCATACATAATCGGGTAGTCGGGTTTGGTAGCATCCGACACCACAAACGTTTGCTGGAAAGTAGACAAAGCATCCTTCAAATCCTCTGATACTCTTGGAAAACCCTTCTCTTTATTTCCTGCTATTTTTTGATTAATTTTCTAATTAGTTAGTCCAATTTGTACAGCCAAAACTTAGATATTAAAATTATTATGAAAAAAGATATAAGTGTATAAGAATCAGAGAAACGCTTATTTCAAATAAGTTAGCGAGTACGTAATGTTCTTAATTTTAAACATTATTTTAAAAAAAAAATGTTCGAATAATAATAACAATAATATTTAAGGAAAAAAATTTACAAATTAATTTACAAATCAACTATTAGAAATGTAATATGTCTTAATATGTAAAAATTAAGCAAAAACTACCCACTACCATAGTGTAAAAAGAGAAAAAAATATATCCACTAAATAAGAATATTCACGATTTAATCAATTAATGAATATTTTATAGGTAAAATTGTCATGGTTCTTTAATTGATTTGTTAATGAATATTTTCAGGGTAAAATTGTCTTTTATCCTTATTTAATATTGCAATTTCACCTAAAGTTCAGATATTTTACCTGTGCTATCATCAGACATGTCCCCTGAGCTCCGTACAGAGTTGCCGGAATCCCGCCTCGAACCCACCGGCTTGCCGACCTCATCGCCGGAGGTCCTCACCTTAACCCCCAGCGGCTTTCCGGTCTCCTCGTTGGTCTTCAGCACCAAACCCCACTCGGCTGCCCGTTGGGCAGCCGCCCCTATCTCCCCCTTCGTGCCTTGCCGGCCGCCCGACGCCGGCGGCGATGATCCCGGAATTGTCTCCGGCGACGGCTCCTTGAGAGCCATCCACGAGGTGGTTACGGGTATTCCCTCGTCAGAGTCCATCCTCCCGGACTTCGACGAGAGCTGCCTTTCCTGGTCGTCATCCGGGCGGCTGCCGCCCCAGCTCCGCCATGACGCCGCCGGAGGCGGCGGCCGGAAGGAGGAGTAGGCCGACGACGGGTTAAAGACCTCGAGGGAGCCGCGCGGGTCCCTCGGCAGAGGTGGAATCTTGTTGCCCTGCAGATTCTGATCATTGCTATTGTCCATTTTTTCCCCCTTTGTTATCCTGAGTCAGATTATTCCTTTAGATTGAATTGAATGCATTTGGCATTTGATAACTAAAGAAATAAATTGCTTCCCCCCCAAAAAAAATGGGTTTAATTTGCTCAGGATTTTTGTTGTTTTGGAAGTGAAAACTGAAAAGGGCTGGAAATATGTGACATTGACATAAAGATGAGATTTTTAAAAGTTATGGTTTGTGAGGAATGGCCTTAGTGAGAGTTAATTGGGACAATATGAGTTGGATTANTTCTGGGGGCAGTTTGGTCAATGATAATGATAATGGAATCAGTTTAGGAAAATTAGCTATTGGGGTTCAACTGTGGAAAATATCCAAATTGGCCTCTATCAAAAATCCAAGCTTGAGGGCAGTTCTTGATCAGTTTGAAGGGTTCTTTGCTGGCTATGACAATGACTTTTTAAGAGATATATAATAACCTGTCATTGGGCTCAGCTGAAAGTTTTCTCTTTTGCAGTTTGCTCTCTAAATGAGGGGATTTACAAATTGCAGGTCACTTGCTAAGTAGTAAAGGATACAAAAGGGCTTTGATGTATTAGCTTGGTGATATAAAATGAATTATATGGTTTGCATTACAAAAATTATGAAACTTATTAATCCCAACAATTTGAGAGCCACATTAAGCCTTCTGTTAGACTGTCTACCTATATACACTTTTTGCATTAATATCACACTTTAAGATACAATACAAATAAATATATGCCGTTTTTAAGTATAAATATGCATTTTCCATCGGAAAAAAAAAATATATGACTATCTAATTGTTAGTCGGGCTAACCTAACATAACCTAACAGGAGCATTTTTGTTTCATGAGATATTGGAAGTGAAATATATGTGGAAAATAGAAAAAAAAAATAACTGGTTACCTGTAAACTGAGAAAGAAGTAATTACTTAAACTTAGATCAATCTCCAACTCCAATTGAAATTGACACAAATATGTATATGTTGTTGATAAATGAGATGCATGAGTGCAGTTTTAAATGGTGAAAGGGTGATAATAATTGTGGAAAAGGCTTGGCATCCCATGCCTGCCCACCTGCATTTCACATGTCCCATACCTATGCCCCTCTAAATTTCTAAAATCCCCCCCAATTTGTTGATTGGCAAATTATTTGAATAAGTTTTTCAATTTTTTTTTTTTTTTTTTTTTTTTTTTGTGAATTAGGAAGTGAGTGGAAATCAATTTGAGTCTCAATTTTGTATATATTTATCATAATATATTGCATTTGTGTTATCAGACATCAGTATATCTTCATAAATAAGGTTATGCAAAGCATACTTTAGAATATGTACAACCGTGTTAAAATTTTGTAGTCTTCTTTTCTTAGAATGCAACTAAAAATATAACTCGGGAACCATATTTTTTAGGCTTGGCCGTAGCGATAGGAAGGGGGGAAAGTCCAGAAAGGGGGGAAACCATTCCCCTCTTTTTGTCACGCGCCCAATATAGAGTTCCAATTTATTATTAATATTATTATTATTATAAAGGATAAGTATTTATTAAAAATATTATCAGAAATTTTATACAAAGTTTTTATTTTTTTTTTCAAATATTTTAAGTTTCTGCTGATTATTCAATAAATTATAAATATTATAGATAACAACCTTCACACCTTTTACAGACTGGATATTTGGGAAAATGGATGTAATATGGAGTGAACTCATTAATTTACTTGTTTGTATCTGCAGGAAAGGCATGTGTATATGTTTGGGTTTATGCAGTCAATAATTGCTGTGGAAAATAATATCGGGAATGTGGATATTTTGGGACATAAGAGCTGTTCTTTTCCCTACAAATGTAGGATTGGTGGAGTTCTAAATTTGATCCAATTTAAGCAAAACAAAC